TTAAAAGTTTAAATTGAAAGATATTTTTTTGTATTCATAAATTTATTTGTGTGAAAGGTTAAAAATTAAGCACTGACATTCCAAACTAGTGGAGGATTGTTGGTAGTTTAGAATGTGGTGTATCCCACATTATGTAGAAAGATCATTTATATGTAGTTTAAAAGAGATTACTTATGTTATTTAAGTAATTGAACTAAGTGTTGGAGTGAGCCAAGTTATGAGAGCTTGATAGGAGTTTTTCTAATGGGTCAGACAATTTTAAAAGTCAAAGATAGGCATTTGGGTACTAAGGTTACTTGGGCTTGTTTAGTAAATAGATTTAATTTTTTATTTCAGAATATTAGGCTTGTTTAGTAAGTATATTTAATTTTTAAATCTTTTTATTTTTTATCTTAGAATATTACTAAAATTTATTTTTATTCTGAATAAATATGTTTAAATTGATAAAAACATGATGGTTTCAATAAACATATTTGAACAAGAAAATATGACTGTATAGAATATCATAACTTTTTAAATTGACTTGATTAGTAACTATTCATTTATTATAAAAAGATTTTTCTACCTGATCAATTTTATTACTTTTGATTTGGAAAGCTTTTAAGACTTTATTATATCTTATAAACATAATTGCATTTAAAATAATATTTCCTCAAGTTTCAAAGCCATATTTTATCCTTATTATTATTTTTCTTTCTTAAATTTTTTAACAGTAACATATTTATATACGATGTACTAGTAATGAACACTGTAATTATGATTCCTGCTTTCGATAGGTCTCTTGAATTTTATTCACTTCCATTCTTCAATTATAGGTATTTCCCACATCTTTTCTTCAATTAAATCTATAGGTGATTTTTCTACTGAATCCATATATTGATAATACATACCATGTACAAATATGTTATAAGAAATGACTAGTTCATCTATCTTTTTATCCCATATTTTATTCTCATTCGTTTTAGAATCCTTAGGAATAAGTGATTTCAAAATATATGTTAGATGATAAGTTGGAATAGGTTTTTTAACCCAGTGATAGTAATACGAGAATCACCTCGTCTTCAATATCTCTACAAGAAATTTAGGTTCATCAATAATGATAGGGTCATAATCGTGTACATCCATGTAATTCGGGTAATCAAGTTTGATCAAATTGCTATAAATAAACTCGTTGATTATCTTTAGTGAAGGAGCCATATTCAGAAACACATTCATATAAATTTCCGGAACCATTTGGACGTAAGGAAGAGTTGTTATAAAATTGTTGTGTATGGTATATATAGGAGCTCCTTTACTTAATAGCGATTCGACAACTTTCATGGCTATAAACGCATCCTTCTGATGAATAAAGTTAGCACAGGTGGAGGTTTGAGTCTTTCACTTATCCCTCTTTGTAGTCGGTACACTGAGAGAAACTCTGCGTCTCTTCTTGCTAGCCTTTTTATGAAGCACTATTTCCTTTTGTACACCGGACATATAATTTTGCACAGTTGTGAAATAGAGTATAATATAGATGACAGCCCTACCCTTAGCTGAACAAAACCAACCTATGAGACTAATCAATTTCATAAATTGATTATGCCCGGATATTTCTTGCTCCAAAAATCATAGCAAACTTGTGCGAGGTTATAGCTATCCTTTAAACGAAGCCATTCACCATAGGTTTCCTTAATATCCACAACCATGTTGTTTATTATCTTCCCATAGATCAAAGGCATTAAGAGGTTTTTTAAGAGTTTTCTATCTAACTTAGATTCTTTGATTTTAATCTTTTTCTTAGATTTTTGAGTTTTTACTAAGAATTCCTTAAACTCATTGAGCAAGCATAAGTAGACATCTTGAATTTTCCGGTCTTTGTGGGGAATAAGATCGTTCGTCGGGCCATTTCTTCATTAAGCAAAAAAAACTCATTATCTGATAATTATTCGCAGCTGCATCTTGACCTATAGGAAGCCTATTATAATCATCAATAGTATCATGAGACAGCACCTTGGCTATGAACTGAAAAAGGTCACTAGCTTCTTTAGCAAACCTCATTAAAGATTCCTCAGAGGCATACAAACTACTCTGGTTTTCCTTATACCAATGAAGTGCATCATCAAAAGAAAAGAAATTTTTAAACTTAAATGCGGCCGAACATTCTAAGATCTGATCAATCCCCAACTCGCTGCTTTCTTTTTGATGATTGTCGGCAAAGAGTATTAAACTTCGAGCTAAATCACGCTCATGAAAATGCAAGATACCAGGGCGGTAGATTCTACCACGGAAGTTCATAAAGGCCGGTAGATAAAATACATAACCATCGTATGCTGAGCCAAGTGTTAATATGAATTCTTCATACCTTGCACGCTGAACCTACTTTGCTAACTCCGTGAAGAGAAAACCAAGGCTACAAAGATCCTTCACAGCCCCGTCATTGACATGACATATCTTCAATAGGCCTATGGCTTCTTTCATATTCACGTGTGCGAGTTTTTTTGGTGCAAGAAGACCTAATTTCTCTAAACTCGCACGATTTATTTTTATGAGTTCCAATACGTTATCATTATTATTTATTTTAAATCCCTGTGACTGAAATCTATTCAAGATTTTGCACATTTCCTTGTACAAAAGATCATGTAAGTAAATATTGAAATTGTACATGTCATGGGATGATATAACTCTAAATGAAGATTGAACTTTAAACTAATTATATAAATTTAAGAAAGGATTAAAAAATTAACCTTATCTAATATCCGATAGCATTCTTGGCATCATTAATTTTGATTTCCAATCTAACGGCTCCCAGACCATAGGAAGATTTAGTTTAATCGGGAAAAGGCTTATAATTACATATTACGAATGAGTTTAATGGGTAATGTCCTTTTCCTTTTCTTTTCACAATTGATTTTATCTCCTTTATTGTGCAGGTATCAATTACGATTAAATTTCTTTCTAGCATTAACTTAAGCAATTTAGTTCTTATTATTTATGAACACGACCTTTCTTACTACTTTCCGCTTGACTACTATCACTTTCAGACAAACTGTTTATAATCACTGATTGTATTCGAATTGTTTTATCGAGCCTGTCCAACAATGTGGATACCCTTACAACCGAGGATTCTTGAAGACTGTTGTACAATAATCCTAACACCTATATGATGATAACCTCCAGCATATGGTGACCTAAATGACTAATATAACGATTATAAACATCTGTTGATAGGCAACTCTTTAAATGATCTTTAGCTGTGATCTGAGCATTATCTATCAAAAAGTTTATTAACTGAGGAATGCTCTTAAAGGTACTATTTTCATCGAAGATTAGTTAGTTGTTCAATCATGTTCTGTAAATCCTTTTAACTCACTAGAGGCAAACTCTATAAAACCATTATTATTGATGGATTTCTTCTTCTTAGATTCATTCAATAACATTATAACATGATCTTGATACCTATAACAATCTAAATGAAATTTACATGACACTTTTATCTTCCTATAGAAATGAAGCCAAAAGTCATTAGTATTATATTCTTTATTGGTTGAATAAGCTCTCCTCAAGTCTAAAATCCTTGGAGTAAAGGTAGACCTAGTCCTTGTAGCTATGGTCCAACCTATTATTACGTAAATCATCATGGTTTAGATTAATATAGTCACAATCTTTTTTATTAAGGGTAAAGGAATGAAAACCTTTGTGAATTGAATGGATAATGGACGCCAACCTGTTGTTGTATATTTTATCATGTTTTCAAATAGTTGTATTTATGTTAATTTGTAATTCATTACTCGGACTATCAATTTCTCCTATAATTCGCTATTTGGACTATGATTCTGGAAATTGATTATCGAACCATCAAGATTGTAGGTCAATGTATATTGTAAGATTGTGTATTAGATTCTAGACCACAAAGTGCTCCCCAGGAGCTTTACTAGTGAGATAATATCTCTTCATCTTATAAGTCTATCGAAATATCGCTCGATAACAATATCCATTAGTGAAACTGGCCTAATAGGATTTGCAAGGGGAGGTATGGATGATATGATTTTGATGTATTATTTACCTTAAAGAGTGGCAACAATGTTTATTGTATTTTTGTGGATTTTCAATGTATTTTTAGGGTTTTTTTTAATTGAATTCACTTCGAAAACCAAATTTGTTAACTATTTTTGGTTTTACAAAGCCAAGACAAAAAAATTTCCAAAATTTTTGAAAGCAAAAATTTCTTAAAAACATGTTTATGTTTGTTGACACTATTCATAAGTGAATAGTATTTTTTTGTTAGTATAATATTATATATTTTAATAATAAAAATTATAAATATAATTAATTATTTTATAAATAATATAGTATTAAATTTAGTAAAAAATAATACTTTAAAATATTTAATTAAAATTTTAACAATTCAAAAGTAACATATAATATTTAATACTACATAACTAATTTTATTAAATAATTTAATATTTAATTAAATATAATATAATATTAAATCTTAAATTTAATAGCCATTTAATTTTAAGTATTACATATTATAGAACATTAATGCATTATATTAAGCATTAATGCATTAAATATTAAATATTTAATCAAATATTATATATTATTTAATATTATATTAATGCATATTATTGAATATAAATTAGAATTATATTAATTCGTAATATTGTGTACCAAAATTTAATATTAAATAATTATATCTAATAATTTATATATATAAGTATTAATTTCAGGATATTAATTGAACTAATATTTTTTATTATATTATTCAGTTCTAATATTGTTTAAATAATATTATATTTAAATATAATGAAATAATAAAATAATATTATTTAATATTATGGTGGCATTTAAATGAATATAATATTAATTTTATAAAAATTTTATTTCATTTATTAAATTATTATATTTGAAACAATAATACTTGTTTTCAATGTATAACATTACTTGCCAAACATGTTTTATATTTTTAAAATTTTGAAAACAAAATAAAATAAAAACAAAATTTTTAAAAACAGAGAATAAAAAATAAAAAATAGCAAACAATCCCAATCTAATCGACGGGTATATGTGATGCTAATTTCAATAATTCCACAAAGCCTGCAGTTCACTAAGAATCAGCCAAAAAATAGTTCAACATCTCATTTGGTAACAAAGCAAGTAATGCAAGTACATCTCAGATAGGGTGCGCCAAAAGAGATGTAAATATCACTTCTGCATGGTTGCAAGATAAACATATCTGTAGCATATATAACAGTGTGCAGCAAAGTTATAACTGGAATTCAACATACTCTTTTTAGACAGTAACAACCACAGACAATAATACAACGGACTTTACAAGTGACATAAGCCCCTAACTGAATTTGTCCGAACTCTCAACTACACATCTCCTATTCTATCTTATCTTACAGACACCAATGAAGGGAAGATTAGCTCTAATAATCTTCGGAAAATGCTCGTCTCACTTTCCCTTTTTTTTACCTCCAAGTCAGCTTCCCTCCTATCCAGGATTTAATTATATTCTTACATCCTCACCTACAGTCAGACATTCTTCCTTAACTAATAAATCATCAAATAAGGGAAAAAAGAATGAATATCTGCAGGCTAGAGCACTACCTTAACCGTGAGAAAAGCACCATCATGTGTGCCTTGATGTATCATCATGTAACTGTGCAGCCCTTACATTGGGATCATCCTGTCAGGGGAAGATGGAATCATGTAAGAAGGTCCTGAAAACAAAACTGACTTGATTTTACCAGGTTACATTAGCAACATGTGTGGAAGACTGACCCGAATGTAAAAACTAGGTGCTCGAAAGAAATCCATCTGTCCCTGTATGAATAAAACAGAATACTCGCAATGTCACCATTTGAACTTGGTAATCAAAGAATTATAAATAGCACCTAGTGATACTATACCATCCCAGGCATGGTTTGCTGAGTGCCAAAGTAACCATCATGGCTCGTTGCTATGGTGTTCAACTGTCCCTATGAATGCAAAACCCCGCATTGCAAAATTAGTTTCTTTAATACAGCACTTTACTGGATAAATGGAGCTATCTTATTTGCTCATTATGTTTTGATAATAAGAAACATACCAGCCCCTGAATAGTCTGTTGATTCCCATAATAATTATCACGTGGTGCCATTAAATTAAGCTGAACCTGCAAAAAGCATAAAGCACAAAATTGTATATAATTGACATAAAAGATAAATGAAATCAATTGTTCAGTATTCTTACCATTCCTTGAACGCTAGGTTGTGGGCCAAAATAACCATCTAGGGCTACTGATCTTGAGCTTAATTTCTCCTGCAAAATACAATTCAAGTGATCAATGTTTGACCAATTTTATTACACATGCCTGAGAAAATTTCCTCGATTCAAAAAGTTACAATCATCCTATAGCTATTCTATTTTTAAGGCGGTTTCTTAAATCATTAAAACATCTTTCACCTGGCTGCTGATTTATAAAACAGGACTAACCATTTGTTGCAAGCCATCTGTTGCTGCAACAGTCATTACCTCCTGCTCTGAGTTTCCCTGTAACAAAAAACAAGAAACAAAAAACTCAGTAAGGACTGGGAACAAAATCTGCAAAATAATATATCCACATGCCAATGGCTATTTCTAACCTTTCTTTTTTTGGTTGGGTTCTTTTTCTTATTTGCTTTGTTTGTGCTTCTGCTTTGATTGTCTTCTTCAATACAGATCATACCTTGGGCGGGAGATGTGACAGCTTCAGCAAGGCTCTTGTTAGAAGTATTTGCACTCAAACAGTTCCCAAAAGTTTCTTCCAGGCTTCGGAATGCAATATGGTAGCTCTCTTGAGATAATGAACCCTCCTCAATCAACTTCAGTGCCCATTTAAATAGATCATTGTATCTCTGCACCCTAGATTGCACCTGTTCAGATTCTTCTCCCGTGAAATGCCTGTACTTTGCCTCTTTCGTCCATCTTTTCAAAATATATTGAGAAGGGATGGCTGAGTGGCCATTCATTTGGAGAACTACCATAGCATGCCTGCAGAGATAGCCTTTGTATTCATATAATCGGCATATACAAGAAACTTCAGTCTTTATCTCATTCAACGTAACAACAAAATCCTGATTCTTTTCAATATCAAAAACTCTAAAAATGCTGCATGTCGAATCATGATTTTCTGGTTTTGGATGACAAGCAATTGCACCCACAACCTCAACTTGAAACTTCCTGAATACTGTGGGTGTATACACCCCTGAAACACTCTTCTCGAAAGGTGAAGGAGATTTTAGTGTAGGTACTTTGCTCCATGAATCAGAATTTGCTTTGGCTTCCTCTTCATACCTATCTTGTAAAATTGCTTCATACTGCTTCAAAAACTCTTGCACCGTGGTCTTCTTATGTACATACTTGTCAAAGAATGAGCTTACACTCTCAGATCTCTGAACCGTAGACATCCCTGCCAACAAAACATCCATTATATAGATTGGCACCCACTTTTTGCAGTCTTCATACAACAATTTCATCCATTCATCATCTTTGAGTTCAAATCTATCAAGAATTTTCCACCACCTTTTGGCAAATTCTTCCTCCGTCCATGACCTGTAGATGCATTTCTCAAATTTTGCCATAAAGTTTCCGTGCTGTTTGATTACATGACCAAGATTCTCGGAAACCTTTCCCAATACATGCCATAGAAAGAAACAATGATGAGTATCTGGAAAGATTTCCTCAACAACTGATTTCACAGTTCTGTCTTGGTCGGTGATTATAACTCTAGGAGATTGTCCACCCATCGCTCTCAGCCATGTCTGCATTAGCCAAGAAAATGTTGCTGCACTGTCATCTGATACCAGTGCACATCCAAGTGGCATGAACTGGTAATGGTGGTTCACTCCAATAAATAGCGCAAGAGGCATTTTATATTTGTTTCTGACATAAGTGGTATCAAAAGACACAACATCACAGAAATAACTGTAATCATGTCTACTCTTTGCATCAACCCAAAACAAACTTTTCAGACGTTGATCTTCACCAAGGTCTATTGCATAAAAGAAGTTTGGATTTATGTTTTGCATGTGAGTAAAAAATTCAAGCAAAATCTTAACATCTCCAGCTTCAAATGCCAAATTTCGACCTTTGTCAAATGGATTTTTGGGATCACTCTTCAGACCAACAACGTTTTTATATTCAGCGAATTGTCTAGCCATTGCAGCATACATCATTCTGGTCTGTTCACTGACAGCTTGGGCCGGTAAAAGTTCATGGTTATGTTCTTTCACAAAACTATGTACAACCCATTTTCCATCAGGCCTTCTCTTGACATGCAGGCTTGCTTTACAATCCGTCTTCGAGCATGATCGCCGACCAGTTGTATTTTCAGGGTCTTGCTTGCTTTGTCTGGCACGTGGCCGGTTAAAGGATTTGTCATATTCCCGCTTGGTCCCGTATCTAGAACAGGCAAATTTTGCATCAATAAATTCTCTTGATGTTTTGGAACGACGGCTATTTTGTATAGCAGTGTTGAATCCCATAGAGCGAGCATATTCCTGATAAAAAGAATATGCTTCCCCATGTGATTCAAACTCCATACCAGAAAGTGGCTCAAGATTTGTATCCACAGCAGAAGAATTCATTTCCCCAACATCTTCAGCACGTACATCCTCTCCTACATCAGCAACATTTCCAGCCTGAACCACTCCATGATGCAGTTTTTCATCACCATCTAACATATTATCAATTCCATTTGCTTCTTCATCTTCCTTACAATGTTCACCAGAAGTTAACCTAAGATCTATGTCCATGATTGAAACTTATTTACTTCAACCAACTGTTTCTCTGATTGAACCTGAAAAGAAGGTCGAAAGAAAGATCACATCATGTCAATATTAAAAACCCATCCGATTATGACAAGAGAAAAACAAACTCAAGTACTCTACAACTCTTGACTAATGCTGGATATACATATATCAAAAGGAAACAAATTCCATATAAGATGGGCATTTCAAGAAGAACAGAAAGATTAAAATTTAAGAGTCATAGTCATAAATTAGATAATAAAATTCAGCAGGCAAATGATTATAACATCAACAAAATGATTCTTTTATCAGCAAACTAATATCCATTCCAACTCGCTTTGAATCACATTGCCGAGAGAAAGAGATGAACCACGATAATTCATCAGCCAAAAACAAAAATATTAATACAACACGATAATTGTGAAGATTTCAGCATATATTAATATTAAAACAAAAGTAAAAAAGAAAATTTGTTTGGTCGATCGAATTCGAAAAGAAAAAGAACAGGGAAATTGTCAATCTTCAAAAGGCAAATTTGAAAAGGAAATAGTTGAGAAAGAGAGAGAAACCTGAAGTGGAGGTGAAATAGCATGAGTGATGATTCTGCGGAAACCGAAGGCGAGTGGGGTTAAGGCGCGTAGGGAATTGGGGATTAGGGTTTCCTTCTTGCGGGGTTTGAATTGCCACTCGCTTTCTCTCTCACTCGCCAATTTGGGGATCTCAGTTCTCACCTTCACTCGCCTTTTTGAGCTTTGTGATTTTAGCCTTCACTCGGCAATCTTTTTTTTTTTTTTTTTATAATAATAATAATAATAATTATTTTTTGGGTCTGATTTCTTGGTCCAACTGCTTACTAGGCTTTAGGGAGAACAAATTCCGATTGATCTAACAATTTCTAGCCCAAAGGCAAAAAAAGGCCCCAAATTTTCGCCCCTTGTGCAATCGTGGTCCTGCAATTCCGTACTCTTCAATGGATTCCTTGAACAATAATTTTGGATTTAAATTAATTCAATTTCTACAAAAGAAATTATTATAATTTTTCCTTATCTAAACTCGTGGTGGCGTTTGGCATGTGATTATGGCTCACAGTCTTGGGATTTTAATTTTGGGGAATGGGATTAAAGTTATGGTACGACACATTCCAAGAAATGTGATATTTCCATGGGCAATAGAAGCAATATGATGAGGTAAATGATATATGTATTTTATTTAGATTTGATTTAGATAAAATTTGAATTTAATTTAATTATTTTTTATTTGAAATTGAGCTCAATCAACTTGATTTATCAAGTAAGCTATATAAACACCTAATTTTTTCTGAATATATTTTTTTAATTAAAATTTCATGATTGGACTTGTTTTTAATCTTTTGATCAATTTAGATTTTAATTTGAATTGGATTAAATATTGATCCAAAAATTGCTTTTGAACTGTGGAATTCGTTTTGGACAATTTATATGTTGTTTGGGCTTTAGTGAGTTAGCCATGTTTGGTCTTGGGCCCAAATTTATGATTGGGCTTTAAAGCTCAAATAAGAATATCCCCCTTTTTTTTTTCTTTTATTCTTTAATTTATTTTGGTTATTTCCTTTTATTTTCTTTTCATTTTTTTCTCCTTAATTTCGAAAATCCGAAAAATTAAAAAATAGAAATTAAAAAAAGGCCAAAAAAAAAAAAAAAAAAACTAATAAAAGTCAAATGTTTACAAAAAGAAAAATTGGGGAATAGGATGAGTTCTTTTTTAACATTTGGAAGGCCGAAAATCAAGAAAAAATGAAAATTTAGGAAAAGGAATCCTTGGAGAAATTTAAAGAATCATGAAAAAATCATTAAAAAATCAGTGGAAACTTAAAAACATAATCAGAAATTGAATATTCGATTCTACCAATTGATTAAATCTTAAAATTTTGCAAAATTTGAAAGATTTCAATAAAGAAACATGAATAGAAAAGAAAGAAAAACGACAAAGTGAAGGGAATAAAATCAAAATCGAGTCTGCGAGCTCATCAATTCATTGAAACCTTAATTTTTCTGGTTCTAAACGACTATATAAAGTCACAAACATGGAATGAAGGGACAGCCACCACACAGATAGCCTGAATAGAACCACAATACACAGCAGCAAAAATAAACACAGTTTTTTTTTCGAAGAGCTTATGGGGTTCCGGGTTTAGTTCGCTTGTGGGTTGTCTTTTTGGATTTTTAGACATGCGAATAGCGGAGTTTCTTTCAAAGGTAGCGAAAGGACGAATTTTGGTGGTTGCAAAAGTGACTTTCGGGTTTAGATATATTTAATTCTAAAATCTTTTCTAGAAATCTAAGTTCGAAATCATGAAAGGGTTCGGAAATCTATTTTTTGGGTTTTACAGTCACAGCGAAGGCGGAGACCGATGACAGACGGCGGACTTGGCCGCGGAGAACCATCGGAAATTGAGTTTAGGCGTCAAATTTTGGAGTTCTTTGAATTTTTCGACATTGTTCTTATTTTGAAGAGAATAGTTAGAGAAAAGCAGGTAAAGAGAAAGAATTAGCATCAAGGGAAACTCAGTCAGCTTTAATCTGCAGGATGATCGGCGCGCTAATATTTTTGTCGACCCGACCCCTAAGTCTTAGATTTTTATTTATTTATTTTGTTTCTAAGTTTTTACTATTTTGATCCATCTATTTTTTATATAATTTTTTAATTAGAGATATATTTTAATTTGACACATTAAAAGATAAAATACAAATTTTAATTAATAAAAAATGTTGACATCAAATTTGTCTTTGATAATTTTACTATTTTTTATTAAATAAATAAGATAATAAAAAGATTATTAAATACAATAATAAACATTAAACAAAAATACAGAATAAAAAAAAATATAAAAAAACAATACAAAATACCAAAAAAAATAAAAAAATAAAAAATAAAACAAAAAAAAATCGAGGATGGCACCACTGCCACTATACCTTACTACCCACCCCTCACCTTATCCTACCATCCATGCTCTACCACCCATATCGTTGCTCAATTTTACTACTGTCAGATATTACCAAAAACAAATAAAAGAGGCATGGGGCTCGTGCTTACACCCCATGTCGAGCCATGTGCCCTTCCTTTAAGCACACGCACGGTCGAAGCTCTATAAATAGAGCTCCAGCCAAACAAAAAAAATAGAGGATGAGAGATTCTGCAAAAAAAAAAACTCAAAAAAAAAATCAACAGTCCTCCCCGTAGGGAGGAACCTAGTGCCGAGAAACTTCCTCCACAAAGAAAAAATAAAGTCAGTTTAAAAAAAAAAGAGAGGAAGTCAGAATACAAAAAAAAAGGTTTAACCGAAAGCTTAAGAACAGATCTAGGCCGTTTGGGTTTTCTTTTAGTAAAACGGAGATCAAATTTGGGTTCAGGGAATCGAAGAAAATATTTTGGTGTTTTTTGAAAATTTTTTGATCACCGACGATTGACGAAAGGCGACGATGACGACAGAGGCACGGTCGACCGGCCATTTGTGTTTGGCAGAGAAAAAAAAGAAGATAATTTTTTTTCTTCTGGAAAGAAAAAATGAATGAAAAAAAAATTTTAACTTTTATATAAAAGGCTAATAGCCAAAATGACTCCATTTTAATAAATGCCCAAAACGACGTCATTTTAAGCACCCAGGATCTGCGCGTCAACTTGTGACCCGACTCGGGGTGCGTCACCCGACCTGCGACTCGCTTTCTTCATCAACTTCTGACCGGTCTGACTGAACCAGAATCGAACTGCTGAACCCAACTCAAATCAGAACCGAACCGCTGACACCAGATCGAACTATCGGACTGAACCACACATTGACCGGACCGTTGATCAGTTCGATTCAGGTAAAAAATTTTTTTTTTGAATTTTTTTATTTTATATATATTATTTTATTAATATTTATGCATATTAAAATATTTATATTTATTAGATTAAATAATGAAATATGTGGTTAAATTTTTTTTAATTCTATTAATTTTTAAATAAATTTTAAAAATAAAAAAAATAAATTTAATAATAATGCTAAACTAATAAAAAATGTAGGAAAAAGAAATTTTTTTTTCGACGATGAGATTCAAAGGTATTCCGAGTAGTGATGCCTACGAAATCTCTAGGTAAGAAGATTTTTTTTAAAATACTACCAATGTATTGGAGTATTTATAAAAAAATTTTCAATACAAAAATATTTTTCTTTTTTTTAAGTAATAAATAAAAATTGATTAATAAATTAAAAATATAAGTAATAAAAATGAGAAGAAAAAAAATTTATCTGATGATGGGATTCTAAAAGTATTCCGAGTAGAGATGCTTTAAGAAATCTCTAGGTGAGAAGATTTTTTATAAAATATTACCAGTATATTGGAATATTTATAGAAAATATTCAATATAATTAAATTTCTTTTTCTTCAAAATTTCAATTAAAAATAAATATTAATAAAATAATTAATAAAATTTCTAACAAAGAAGAATAAAATGTGTGCATCAACATGGTAACATTTTGCATTTCATGCACGACATTTTTTACGAAAAGTAAATTTGAGCCTCCGATGATAAGATTCTAAGGTATTCCGAGAAGCGATGCCTAATAAATCTCTAGGTGAGAAAAAGTTCTTCTAATGTTATCAACGTACTTGAACATTTTAAGAATTATTTCAATAAAAATGTTTTAATTTATTTTTCTCGAGAATACAAATATTTTTCTAATAAATAAAAAATCAAGGAAATTATTTTTTAAACATCGAAAATTGGATTATTTTTATCAAAATCAAAGGATAACACGTTAATTGGTACTATTTTTAACGGTCACTGTGGGGGTGCTAATCTTTCCCTACGAGTAACTGACTCCCGAACCCAGACTGTTTCGCAGATCGTAAAATTATCTTTTTAATAAATTTTAACCAATTTTAAAACTTTATTAAAAGGATATGCTTTAGTATGTGGCCAATCGCACCTAGCCAAAAAATATTGGTGGTGACTCCGTTATTTTTTATTTCGTTTTCAAATTCGTCAGGCGGACACAAAATCGTTACGATAAAAAATATATAATTTTTAATTTTAATTTTTCTTTATATAATTAATTTAATCATGTAAATATAATAATTTATTTCAAAACATGAATCGAAGAAAAGAAGTTAAAAAAGATAACTTTTCGAAAAATTTTATGTGAAAATTTTTATTTAAATTCTCCTGAAAAGAATTTAGATAAAATTTTAATAATAATAAATTTTAAAATAAAAGTAAAAAATAAAAATATAATAAAGTTTTGAAAATAAATGAAAATTTTTTCAATGATAAAATTTTAAGAAATCATAAATGATTAATTTTATAAAAAATTTATAGGTGGAAAATTTTTTTAAAAGGTCTTAAATAGTGAAAAATTTAGGAAATTTCAATAAAACTAATTATCATTTATTTTCAAATAAATTATAAATATAATGTAATTTTTATAAACTTTTGAAAATAAATGGGAAAATTTTCTTACGATTAAAGTCAAAAAAATTAAAAATGATTAACTTTTTAAAAATGTTTACGTAAGAAATTTTTCTAAAAGTATACCAAATTGTGAAAAATTTTAAAAAAATTTTAATAATATTAATTAACATTTATTTTCGAACAAATAATAAATAAAATGTAACTTTTTAAAAATTTTGAAAATAAATTGGACATTGTTCCTATAATGAAATTCTAAAGGTCAATAATTGCTGATTTCTTACAAAATTTTATGTAAGATTTTTTTTTTCTAAATTTAACCAAATGATGGAGAATTTATATAAAAATTTCAATA